TATATATGTTTACATTTAATAAATATTCGACTGGCATTCAAACAATAATATAAAATATTTACTAAAATTTAATACATTTTTCTGTCAGTGTAGTTCTAAGAATTAAAAAAAAAAAAGATAAAGAGTAAAATTAAAATAATTAAAATTTATCCACATTGGTATAAATGAGCAATGATATAAAAGAGAATAGATATCTAAAATTTCGTCTCGTGTACCCAAATCGATCGTTTTCACAGCTTTTAAATTTAGATCGCAAATATTGGCTACGAAGGGCACGCTACTGTTTTAATCTTAGAAAATGAAAGGATGAAGCTACGACGAAAGTAACAGAAACGTAACGAAATTGACATATCACGATTAATTTTCGCATTTGTCATATTCGACGACGTAGTAAAAGCGTGACAAATAAAGGAGGACATAACGAATGTAAACATTACATTTCTATAAACTTTCGTTGTCAGATTTCATTTCGTGATATTATCAACAATTTTCGCAAAACATATAGGGAGAATTCCTCTTAGACTCTTTTTTTTATACTATTTATAACAAAATATTAGATTATATTTTTAATACTTTTAAAATATTTAATCACAATTTTGATGTTCTCAAAATATTTTTAATCAAAAAATATATACCTATAAATATAAAGAATCTAGATTCTATTATATGCATTTGTGTTAATATAATTTTGAATAAAACGTTTTATAAATACATTTAAAAATAATACTTTTTTAAACTATTTAATATTCTATCTTCATATTTGATTTTAAAAAAGAATTTCGTTTGCAACGAGTCAATAGCCCCGCTGACAACAAATTTCTATATCTATCAATGAGCAAACAAATAGACGCGTCGCAAGTTTGATGATGGAAGTTTATGCGGAGGAGGTAGTTACGGGAGTAAAAAAAACACATTCATTCACATCAACACATATATTTTGTTTTTGCTTGTTGCATACATACGATAAACAGTACAATGTTATGCGTTCCTCGAGGTATGGTATACTAGAAAATTTTCATTATCCACTACTACAATTGCTATTCGACATATTGTTTCGTCATATCTCTTCGACTTTGTGTATTTGCGTTAGCTATACGAGAAATGTTCAAGAAGGAAGGAAAAAAAAGGAAAATAAACAGAAAGAAGGGCGATAGGAGAAAAATGGAACGAATTACGATACGAGCGTGAGTGTTCCTCATTTCTTTCGCTTTCGATTAGGGAAGAGGACCATCGCGCGTCTCTTCGTGCGCGCCTCATCGAAGAGAGAAAAGCCGAGATTGGCGATTTTGGGCGGCTTGGTCGTCATCAATAATGAATAATCGGATGGAAAACGAGTGAGTTGCAAGAACTTGTACCATCATCTCGACGTAATCCCGAGCATCATATTAATACTTCACAACATCCTTATTGCCTGCGCGCCTCAATTCCTCATCCCTCTCCTCCCGATCATCCGATAACGATAATGATAGTAACGACAGCAATGGAGATAAATATAGAGCAACAATTAATTTGTATCATAAAGTTTTACACGACAAAGCATCGTTTCGAGAAACGAAATCCCGAGCGAGCATGAAATGAGATAATTCACTGAAAAAAGTCTAATAATAGCTATCAAATATTAAACGAAATATTTAATTAATATAAATAAAAGTAATTTTATTTTCCTAAATTAAATATTTAATGCTCTTTAAAGTCTTTGGAGTGGAATCTCACTGTAAAGAGTGAAAATAGAACAATACTTGAAAAAGAGTAGTTTAATTTTCAATCTTTAAAAGTAGATTTAGGATGAAGTTTACTCTAATAATTTTAGAGAGTAAGTATTATGAAATGATTGATTATATTATATTTGGTAATACTTATTAAATATTTAGGAAAGTAAAATCACTTTTCATTATATTAACCAAATAATTTGTTTAGAATTATTTCACTCAATATTTAGCAGCTATTACCAAACTCTTTTCAGTGTTCAGAGATCCTCTTGCGGAATAATTATCTCAATAGGAGGTCCAAGAAAGAGATAGAAAGAGAAATACAACGGATACATATATGGAAAGCGCGATGTGATCAGATTTAGAGGATGATATGACACGCGACGACCAAGCCCTCGTTGTCGAGAGAGAATCTCTCTCGTTTTTTCTGGTACTAGGATTCGTTAGGATTTAATATGTTAAAAGGAGAGCTCGCGGGCCGCGCGCGCAAGAAAACAGATATCCTGCGTAAGGAAGATCGCGAGCTATCACCGCTGAATCCCGGCCAAGAGTTGTCTCTAAAGAAGAGTTATTCTCTCGGAATTCAATGGTAAGTGCCGCGTTACAGTTGTGAGAAGTATTACTATTGAGCGCTTCCCTTGATGTCTAGTTCGTCGGTGGCTTTTGCTATTTTTCGCGACACTAAAACGTGTTTAAACTTGTAACGTAAGCTCGTATTGTCAGGGAGATGAACGTAATCCATGAGGAAAATTGAGCCAGTCCTGAGGAAAAGAGGCTCAATATTCAAACTTTAAGAATGAAATTTCACTCTTCAGAGATTTATTCTAAAAATTTTAGAGAGTTAATATGTATCTATTGTCAATATATTTTATATCTAACTGTTGATATTAAAATCACATAGAAAGAAATAAAATATATTTAACAATCCACGATATATTAATTGCTTTACTCAATTAACTTTCGTCAATAGAAGTGTATAAGAGTATAAGTTAGAACAGACGTTTGTATCACTTTCGATCTTATACTTATTTTTTACCTGTCAGTTTTAATTACGATCGCGACGAATGTGATCATAATATCTCGATGTATCATCATACTAGTAACTTTATGATATACGTAAAAAACGTTACAAGTTTAAACGCACTTTAAACGGAGACGATTCGAAATATCATCCGAAATATCATCGCTAAAACGAGAGAGCGTGCTGTCGACAAGAAGTCGAAGGATATCTCGAGTCTCGGCAGAATTTGCAACTCGATACAAGTATATTCTCTCTCTTCTTTTAATCCTCTATTTTTCCAAGCGCTTCTTTCTCCTGCGACAACTTCCGACAACCGCTCCCCTGTCGCTTATGTATGTGTATGTATATGTGTATACGTGTATGTGTGTGCCGATCTGTTTTGTACAAATATATACAAAAGGAGCCGCCCGCGCGCGCGCGTCCAAGAAAAAAGGGATATCCCTTTCCGCAAAAAGGATCGCTCGATTGTCACGCGGAAGAGGATCCCTCCTCGGGCGCGTCCAGCGAGTGTCTCTGCCTGCCTTTTTTCCCCTTCATTCTTTTTCTTTTTATCGTTTAGACATAGCGAGTATGTGGTTCCTATTTTGACGGGCGTGCCTTTTTCATCGGTGAAAATGAAAAACCAAAAGGCCCTCGACTTAAGGTCTAGCGCATAAACTAAAGGCGAAAGTGGACGTTGTACAGTCGGACATATCATATTATATAATCCGCTTCGCGGAGTGACTGGATGGCGCGATGTGCTCACGTGTTTCACGTGATTCCTCTACTTTTTTTTCTCTCTTGTTATCCCCCTTCCCCCCCCCGAAGACCGGACGAGCGCGATTGTAAGAAGCGCGAGTAAAACGCAACGTCGTGTGTCATCGCGAGCGAGAAATCGAAAACAAGTAAGGATAGACGTCGTGTGTCTCTATGCATCAAAAAGGTGTCTTACGGAGAGATAACGACATATCTCGTTCGAAAACAAAGAAAAACAGAAAGAGAGAGAGAGAGAGAGAGAGAGAGAGAGAAAGACAGAGGATAATAATAATTTAATAAGACAAAAACGCAAAAACGAATATAGATTTTTGTACACTTAAAAAACATTAAAAATTCTTTTAGTTATACGCTTTATTAATAATGTAGGTATGTACACATATACACAATGTACAAAAAACCCGTGCGCTGGGTCCGAATATGTGTCCGCCGTATGTTTATATAATTATTATATAATACAACGAGTGAAGAGTATAAGTAGAAAGAGTATACAAACGAAAGAATAGAAAAAGGGGCGGCGATAGCCACGGAGACAATACTTGTCTCTCGCGTTAGTCATTAATAAAGAGACATGACTGGTCTCGCGCTATTTCTACACTTCCTGTTAGCGCCAAGACACGACCGTGTCTCCCGATTAAATCCACGACTCTAATCATCCAATGGAAACGCGAAAAAAAAAAATAAAAGTACAATGTGGTCGCGTGCGTTTCGCAATACCAAGTCAAGTTTCCGTTTCGAAATGTGCGTGAAATGTGTTCTTGTACATTGTATATAGTATATACTTGCCTGTGTGTATGTCTTGTATACGTGTGTGTGTGTGTGTGTGTGTGTGTAAAATAACGCAGGCAATTATGCCCGCGATACAAGAGACAATGAAGAAAGGCATATCGAGCCTAAGTACAAACCCAACCGGGCAACAAATGATCAGCATCATCACTATCGTCGCGATCCCAACGTCGCGCACTGCTCCTCTAAATTTTCGCTCCGCGAAAAATAATGTGCTGCTTTCCGTCGTGTCAATTCAACCGATCTCTACGAAATTCATATGTACATGTGTGCAGCAGAACAATCGACCGCCAATATGCAAGTTACCAAAGACTTCTTCTCAAAACGGGTCACAAAAGATAAAATACCGTACGATACCGATCACATTACTAAAACGCGTCATCAACCGCCGGCTTCGAATAAAATCAAATCGTCCACTTTCCCTCCCTCAACCTTATCTCCACCCTTTCTTTCGTTTTCCCTCCTCTCCCATAGTACTCCCCTTATCATTGACGTCAACATCAACTTCGTGAGAATCCGTATCGCACCAGACAACGTCTTTGGCTCGAATCATTCGTTGGCTCTCCCGCATGTCGCCAACGAGTCTTTATCACCGTTACCAAAAGCGTTCGGTGAAACCCTTCACGGTTCCAACCATAATAGCTCCTCTGTACAAAGAGGAACAGAAAATTTGAGCCCTGATTCGACATTGAAAGAGAATTTTTAAGATTCTCTTTCTTTCTTGACTTTGAGCCCGGTGCCCGCGTTATCCTCGCCTAGGATGGTAGCTATCTCACCCTGCATAAAGGCCCACGGTACCTGGCTGTTCGCCAGCGGGCATTTCTCGCCGCTCGGACAATATACCTGAAACGAAAAACGAGAACGGATACCCCGTTGATGAGGATTGTTGATAGAATCTCTGGAGAAAGGCACCAAAATGCAATATTATAGATATTCACCTCTGAGCCGGCACCTTGTCTCTTTATGCTGTCTCGACTGCATGGAAAGCAGAACTTGTGATGTGGCACACTGGGACACTGCACAAAGTGCGTGTCTTCCAGGCGTTCCTGGCACAGAGTACACTTGAGGGTCGGTGCCGTGACCGGTTCAGAGCCGGCAGTCGGTTGAGCAACTGCGCCCTCCGAGGATGTCGTCACGGTCGTGGATGACACCTGCCTTGAACTACTGGACCGTCTGCCCGACGAACCTGCAAATACAATTTTTTCGCAATCGTTATTTGCAATCCCTCGCAATTTTATAAAAAGCTTGATTTTTAACATTACAAGGATTTTTTTTTATGGATTATTAAGAATTATTTTTATATATCACGTGATTCCTCAAGAAGTCTAATAAGATACAGATATAATCTGTATAAACTATTATATCAAGATAACAGATAATTAATTATATCAAGATAACAGATAAAATATGTGAAGAAGAGATATAGAGATAAATATAAAAATATAATACTACTAAAATTACCTGAACTATTCGGACTGTGCTGGGAGCCTCTAGAAGCACTGCGTTGCTGAGCGTTCGCGGCTGTAGTCGGTGGACTTCTGCTGGTGGGACTGGGATTGTTCGGCGGCTGTGGTACCGGCTCAGGCGATGTTAGATTGTCAGCGACTGACATTAAAGCGGCCATTGGCGATGGACCATTCGCTGTGCTCTGAAAGAGGAAGTGTCACCGTCAGTTGGCATTCTAGAATTACAAGCTTATAATGGATTTGCGTAGGAGTTCAGCAGGCCAGAAGGCGCGCAGAAACATTGATTGCGCGCAAATAAATATGAATCATTGTCCATGAATGGAGCTGGCCGGCTGAAGCTGTTAAATAATTAACACGTATCTCGTGCGTACCTGATGATGATTCGATTGTGAATTATCGTTGGCGCCTTCTTGATTCGGCGGTGGCGGTGGTGGAGGACTCGTTCTTGGACGAAGAGGCGATCCTCCACCATTGGCCGCGACATTGGCAGGTGCCAATGGTATAGATGGTCCAACGTATGCTCCTGAAAATGTATATTATATATCATCAAATACATGCTGTTTACACATATCTGCAACAAAGTATCCTAAATATCGAGCTCTGGGAACTTTTCGAAGCGACTATTTAGAAAACATTCATACAATATTGAAGAGTTTATCCAAAAAAGACGCAATAATTATAAAATAAATAAATTATACAGTATTATGCAGTTTTGTTTCTTATTTTCTACCTTCTACTTGTTTGCTTTTCTCCTTCCTATTTTTTTCCAAACATGTATATCATTTTTTTTTCTTTCAAAATGCGATCATATTTTTCAGGCGTCTTTTTTAGAAATGTTTTTAACGTGCAAAATAGAGATAGAATAAAAAAAAAATAGAATGGAATGAACAAACAGTGAAGCAATGTAATCGAATTAAAGCACACATTGTTCCAGTTCAACATGATTTCTTTAAGTTTAGTTAAACCAAGATTAAAATTAAATTATATTGGCAGAAACGGGCCTTAACTGTTCACAATAAAATTTCGAACTATACAATTCGTTGTTCTTCCCTAATCTTCAATCTTTCTCTTCAATTAAAAAATTAAAGAGTTAATCTAACAAAATAATACAACTATTGCTGCAGTATTTAATATTCAAATTTCGCATTCGGATCGTTTATCATCGGACGCATTTCAGGCGTTTATCGTCTCGATTGTTCAATGTAGGGGAAGATGTGGGGTGTTCCGCGCTACGTCTAATGAATACAAGAACAGAGTCTATAGTTTGCCCTTCCCCTCCTGAACGTCTCAGGTCTCAGCTCGCTTCTTGTTGCACGTACATGCGCACGAATGCGCGCGCGAGCGCTTTGGCCGGTCATCAAACAGGCCAGTCGACAGACCGTATCTGCTGTCGCTCTTACCGCATGATTGATCACGACTGACGTTGCCGCACGGAAACTGACTGACGTGACGTACGTGCTTAACGTTCACGAAACGAGATGCTTTCGCGTAAACAACCGGCAGATCATGTTCGGTTTAATTCCGAACGTTCCGAGTCGGACTTGAAAACGTCGGACTTGAGAACCTCTCCTCCAATCCTTCTTCATTTAGCACCATTAATTCATTATTGATACGTTAACTCGCGCGAATTGCGTTACTAATATAAAATGTAAAAAATAAATAAAGAATTGCTCATGGCAATCTGATAAGAAAGTCGCTGGAGTTTGAAGTTTGTAATATTACGAAATAATATGCTTGTTGACGCAATATTAAGCCTAAAAGATTATCAGAATCCTCGGATTATATAAAGTATGAAGAGAGAAAAATAATTAAAGTCGAAATTATAAGGCATTTTTTGTAATTATAAAATTAAAATTATAGTTAATTCAAATTTATATTAAATCTAGTTTTAATTTAGTTTTATATTATTAAAATTGAATTTAATATAAAACTAAATTCACTATAATCTCAATTAACTATAATCTCATATTAAATTAACTGTATAATCTCAATAAATTTAATTACATTTAATTTAATTTTATATTAAATTATTTTTTCTGTAAAAATGAAAAGTAAATGAGAGCAAAAAACTAATTATAAAATGAAATCTTCATATTTTTCGAGCTTTAATTTATAAACGTTATATTTTGGAATAACGAAATGCGTTGCTGAAATGGAACTTACATAAATGACAATGTTTCTCAATTGTCCATGAGTAATAAATCTCGGAGGACGATAACCTGGTAGAGATTGGAATCGAGTGTGTGCGCGCGTGATATTTTCAAGACACCCAATGCAATGACGTAGGTGTCACGCAAACAGTTGAATATATAATGTTTTGTCGCGCTATCTGATATCAGTCTCGTTATCTCACTCGATAATAGCTGCAAGACAATCATTATCAGCGATCACGAACCGTCATTCTCGCTGTTATTCAATGTATACGAATTGTGTGTGTGTGTGTTTATTAAAATAATTTAAATTGTTTAACCTAATAGATTTCACGTGTCGATTATAGCAATATAATCATAGATGTTTATGCCTTAAAAAAAAAGTGATCGTTTTATTATCTATCTCAATGGAAAATTTTATAGAATATTTTTGAAATTGATCACGTGACTGTATAAAGTCCATTTTTTAAATTGAGCTTCTTTTATACTTCTTTCCATCGTGACAAAAAAAAAAAAAGAAAATAGTGCAAGAAGTTTAGCCAAAAAAAAAGTCTAATAATTTCTATATTATCGCGTTTTTGTCACAAACTTGTTGACAATATTAAAACTTGATTAAAACTAT